CTCAAAAGGAGAAGTTATCAAATATTAAATGTAAGTGTTCAGTTACTTTTGCATATCCTAATTTTTGATTTTTAAATAATATTTATATTCTAGGTTGATAAACATTTTTGAAGTGTCTGTAATTCACTTAATAAAGTTTTTTTTTGTAATGAATATATAGTTTAATTAAGATTTGTTAATTATCTGGAAAAAAGAGACAATTTAAAAAATATTATCTCACTTCTGAAGCTATATATATATATATATATATATATATATATATATATATATATATATATATATGTGTGTGTGTGTGTGTGTAGCAAATTCTCTTTTAGGCATGTCTGACTGAATAAATTACAGATTTTATGTCTTAATTTTTAACAAAATCCGTTCCTACTCATGAATATGATATCCTTTAATATCATTACTGAGTGTATTGATATTAAACACTGAGTGTATTGATATTAAAGACTGAGAGAAATGTGGTATAATTGTTTAAATGTCTTTTATTTTCATTTCCCAAGTACTTTCGATCTTCTTCTAAGATCATCTTCAGGGGTGCAAGTAATACAAAACAGTAATTTTTTCAAGGTTACAAGTATATATACAAAGCTGTGCGTGGCTATCCATTACCGTAATTTTTCATTATGCTGACAAATGCAAACGGTTGACGATGTACTGAACATTCATTAGAACGTGAAAAAATGTTTTGTTAAAAATTAGCAAACATAATGTCTGTAATTTATTCAATCATATATATATATATATATATATATATATATATATACACGTCGTTAGATCAATAAATCCATGCGATAATGTTGAAAAAAGAATTTAGATTTACAAAATGGATATGTTTATATATGAGAATCAGCATAGTATAAAGAAAGTGTTGGTAGTACGACGGATATCGGCACAGTGAGTAGAATCGCTGAATAGCGTTCTAATTCTGGCTTAATTGTTCCTTTAATTTTCTCACAAAATAACCTGGGAAATGACTTAATCTGTCTCTTCTCCCGATCTCCAATCGATGAGTTAAATAGCCCGGTAAACAGGCATCTCTAGCCTTGGGACTAAGAAAAGGAAATATGAATATATGAATACCAAACCGTGGAGAAGGCAAGCGGGAAACACTCTAGTATCACATGAAGTTATGTCTATTCAGAAATAATAATGAAAATGAAAATGCGAAGAGTCCTAAAAGAAAATGGCATTATCTGTCTTTCCATAAACAGACCTACCTGTCCCCCCCCGATATATATATATATATATATATATATATATATATATATATATATATATATATATATGGGCAACATCGAGTGGCAAAAGTTTGTTTCTGGTTTGTTGAATGCAATCTTCATGTGGCCTGGAGATTGTGTGTAAGTGTTATCCCAGAGTACACTTTTATATTTACATACAGTTTATCTGTGATATTAAGCACTTTTATGCATATATATACCATGCCGTAAAACTATATTTTATCACAAATTAATGTAAGATATTATGTATATATATATATATATATATATATATATATATATATATATATATATATATATATATATATTTATGTGTGTATTTCTTTTAGTTAGCAATATAAAAAATTTTAGAAATATTGAAAAAAGTAAATAAAAATAATCAACAAGGAAATTTTGCTGTTTTTTTAATCTAACGTGCATGAATAAAAAAATAATTCTGCTCAAAGTCAACCAATATATATATATATATATATATATATATATATATATATATATTGGTTGACAGTTTTCAATATAGTTAATATTTTTGATTTTACCTTCGGTATTGGTAAATAAAACAAATATTTACTATGTCTGTAGAAAGAAACTCCTCTGGTTCAGGATAGAATTATTTTTTGTTAGGATTGTTAAGATTGACGGATGTTTAAATACGTTTTTTTATTATTATATCTCATTTTATTTTGACTGGTATGTTGCTGAATAGGTTTTCAATGTCCAGCCTTCAATTAGTACGCCGGTTTTCAGCTTTTCTATGAATTCATATGAGGAGGTCGAAAATTTATTCGTCAAAGTAAAAGTTAATGTAATAATAAGAAATACACTATTTATTTAAAAATTATAACTTCAGTATGTTATAACATCACTACAAAAATAGTCATTTTGTTTCAACACTTCTTGTGTCTTGTCAATTTATGGTGTTTGTAAAATAAAAAAGTTCTAAGAAATGTACAGAAATATCCATCACTTCCCCTCCCATAAATAAATCCAACGAACGTGAAAAATCAATGTTAGCCTGTGCCAAAGAAATCCCCTTCTATGACTAAAAAAGAAATATTTGTTTTATTCAGCAATATTAATAGAAAATCAATACGCATATGTAACTATATATATATATATATATACTTACATATGCGTATATTTATGCATAAGTGTGTGTTCGTGTACACGTACAATAATGAACTTTTGTTTTATATATTCAACATTCTATACCACTAAAAAAATATGTTAATATAGTCTAAAAATGGGTGGATTTTTTCATTGAAATCAAATAATCGTATGAGCGAATAATTCTCTGGTAGTGAAGCTCCATGCTAATATCCACTTCCTCTGGTCAGGTTATAAGGGGTTAAGCGGTACTAGCATAATTGCCCTGGTAGGAAAAGTGAATTCATACCTTTACCGAAGTTAATAGTACGGTATGAACACGAGCTTGTTTCTCTATTTCATACAGGTTTAGGGTTAACCGTTCTTGTTGCTAATTTGGACGCAAGCTGATACACCTGATATTTTGCTAAAGAAACTTTATTAAAACAAACCCCGTTTAACTGCAGGAGGTTGCATTTGAAATTGTCAGATTCAGCTGAGTAAATATAGCAATTTCACATTTTTCATTAATGCAGTCACGTCATTGTCCTCTGAAAATGAAAGTGAAAACAAAAGTTTCGATGCCAACAGATTTTCCTATCAAACCGACTCACCTTCTGAGATATTCCTTGCTCAAAGAATAAGAATGGTGGTACGGTTGTCTCTCTTGTAATTTTGGGGAATCTGTTAAGGAAAGAATCGTTATAAAATGCCAAGGTATATATTTATGCAATATATACTTGGCGTTCTTCGAATATTTTTTACTTTAATCCGCTTCCCAAAACTTGACCAAACATAACACACAGAGACACACTGACACACACAGATCCACAGACACACAGATCCACAGACGCAACACACACACACACACACACACACACACATATATATATATATATATATATATATATATATATAGTCCTAATCTCATTGTAAGACCTGGTCCCATTACGAGTCCTGATTCCAGTCACAGTGAAAATCTATGGGCTCAGCTGAAATCTACCTTTGGGGAAAGGAATTTTGCAAAAGTTCAAGCACTTGAATAAATTGCGAATAGATAGAGGTACCAGAACTGTATACACACACACATACACGCACACACACACACACACACATATATAATCTATTCCTTTCTTATGAACCTTTACTTTGTGGAAGCGTCTCCCAAGAGGATGCTTCTCCGATCACTACAATCTTAACCTGTTCAATTTTAGGGTTAACTTTTATCTTCCCAACCTATCCCCATAAACTGTGACTTTTACTCTGTAACTCACTACCCTGAGTGGCTCTTGTGCCTTGTACTGACTGAACATCATTGTCAAAAAAATAAGAAAAGAAAAGAATAGCAATAGGCTTGCAATGTTTAGTCTGTAGAATGGAAAATAGTTAATCACTCACAAAGCTGCAAAGACGTTTCTTAAGTCTATGAAAAACTGCGAAGACATGTTAGCCGTATTCCATTTTTGGTCTGATCTGCCTCTTGGGATAATCAACCATAGAAGTAGGTATCGGATAGCTGATGGAATGATCATTTTGCACCGTCTTTAGCGATGGTTCGCATATATGAGTACTACTTAAGGTCTGGCGTAGACTTTTTATTTAATTTATTTTCGCAAGCGATCTTAACTCTACAAATGACGACTTACCGTCTATTTTTCTCATGTTTCAGTTTGATGACATTGACACATACTGAACTTGCCCGTTCGTAAACGATTCTAAGACTTGATCTTGGTTTTTTGCTATCTTTTCAAATAAACCTGTTGCCTTTGTTAATCTTTATACTTGTAAAATACGATATATTTTTCGAATTAAGCATGGTTTCAGAATATTCAAATTTTAATCAATGTTTGGTCGTTTAAAATATTCACGTTTTTTTAATATCTTTCCCTTCATTACTGTGACATCAGTTTCCCGATAGCCAGTAGAACGAAAAAATATTGGGTTCAAACTGCTAATACGGTTACATCAGCGATTCAATAAATATAAATTTAATTTTGAAATTTTGGATTGCTGCATGAAATATTTAATCAGCAGTGCTAAATGAATCGGACATTGATTTGATTTCAACTGATGCCAATTGCAAAAGAATTTTTGAGTCAATTATTGGAAAGGGTATTTTGAACCTGCTAAAAAGTATTAGAAATCTAATATTGGAATTCTAATCATAGCGTTGGCACTTCCTTTTGCATTAAAATCAGTTCAGCGGTTTTCTGGCAATTAGCGAAGCATTTTATTCTCAGAAAATTTTAAAGTATTAGGGTTTTGGAAGCAACGCATAAAACTGATAAATTTTTAACTGCGTTTCATTTTATGCATAGTTCTGAACTTGAGGAAATGTTTTTTAGAATGTGAATAAAAAATTCACTCCTTTATGCAATGTGGAAAATATGGGTTCAAATTTAAAGTTTCTTTATCAATTTTTTAATTAGAAATGCTTAATTTGTGAGAATATTTTAACCTTCATATTGATCTCATTGTCGTGCCAAACCATTTTCATTTTCTTCGTACTCCATTAGTAGGAAGGAGGTTCCACTCAGACAATTTCTTCTTTGTGGAATAGAGTGCCGAAAAGGACGCCTCCCCGATCGCTGTAATCTTAACCTCTTTAACTCTCAGATCAAACGTTATTATTTCCTACGTACCATCATGAAATGCACTTTTTACCTAACAGGCTTACGGCCATATCACGTTGGAACATTGGTTCTCCTCCGATCACCTAAGTTAACCAACGTCGAGCCAGGTCAGTACCTAGATGGGTCACCGCTTGGGAATGCCAGGTGCTGTAAGCTTGGGTGTGTAAAGGGTGCAATGTACGAAGGGCTCGGAATGAAAAGTCGGAAAGCCGAGATCGAATACCATTTGTGTTCACTTAGGCGAAAATACCCGTGTGAAAGATATGAATCCACCTCTTCTTCCTCCATAGATTAAAATAGTAACACTTGTATCTGAAAATCATTATTAGCTCCAAGAAATATCGCATTATTCTTATAATCAGGTTTTTAAATAACCTACAGAAGCTTGATAAACCGTAACAACAAATCACTCACCCGTCTTACTTTCATTCAGCAACCACAATCACTAACCCTTTATAGTGAGTAGCTCTTGGGCCCTTGATTTCTTTCGTCTGACATTTCCTGGGTTTAGTGTTGGATTCTATGTGATTGATGTTCATCACTGTCTTAAGTATCTGTTAATATCATTGTCTATTTATCTGTCTGTCGGCATTTTAGCTTTCCAGTTGTCTCTTTATTTCACGTAAGAGTTTCCTTACAAGGAATTATTCGGCATTCACTGACAGAAGCAGCTAGTGCTTTTGTCAGTAAAAATTTAAAACATATATATATATATATATATATATATATATATATATATATATATATATATATATCATACTTATTATAAAACCCACGTTGTGTGTGTGCGTGTATGTGTGTGTCTGTGCGTTTATTTATTGGATCTGATTTCCTACATTTTTCAACGGATTTCAACAAAACTTCACAGGACTACGAAAAATTACCTTGCAGTGGTTCTGATAGCGCCAAAAAATGGAAAAACACAATTGTTTTTGCACGAAATCAATTTGAAAACACTATTAAGAGGCATCACGAGAATGAAAGGGGACAACTCATATCGAGTTATACTTATTATAAAAACCAGGTTGTGTGTTGTGTGTGTGTGTGTGTGTGTGTGTGTGTGTTGTGTTCGTTTATATATGTGATCGGATTTCCTACATTTTTCAACCGATTTCAACAAAACTTCACTTTTGTTTTTGGTAGGTAGTGTTTCTTATTGTCTTGCACACTTTTTTCTTTATTTTTACATTCAGAATGCTTTAAAAATTCCATTTACAAGACAATTGTTTGTAATAAAATTCTATTCAATCGGTAGACTCATAACGATTGAAAACAATGTTTTTGTTTGAGTTTGGGTTTGACCAATTCATAAAAACAAAAACAAAAGAAAAAACTAATTAAGACATACGTGTCCGTCAACCTTAAACAATAATCTTTGTCAATTTTATTTTTCAGTCTTTATGATGGTCGATACTTGATCTATCTCTTACTGTTACATCCCCGGACAACGCCGAAACTCTACCGCTAGTATATATATATATATATATATATATATATATATATATATATATATACCTTAAATTTCATTATATATGTATGGATGTATGGATATATTTTAGAAAAATGAGCTCAGTGGATAGAAATGATCTCCTTTAAACTAATATCATTGCAAATGACATAGCATTTTTTTTTGTAATTTGAATACTCACGAACAGAGTAGTCTGGGAAAACATCCTTTGGAATCGAAATCACTACAGCAGTAATAGCCTACGAGGCGTGTTTTCTAACGACTTGCTCGGCGCGTAGACCTTAAGTATTTAATCATCACCACATAGAAGTAGTACCTTTTTAACGTGGTACTATCACGTGGATGTGGGACCGAGGTTAAAAATTACTGTGCTCACTCGCGGCAACTACCTTTTGGCATACCTCCGATAAAAACAGAGATTGAGTCTGACCTTCGTCTTTTAGGGAAATGGTGAGATGCTGCTTGGAGTTTTATTTTATGTCCTGTGAATTTTCAGGCTGTGGGCGATCATGGCTCTCCGCACCTCCCTATTCTTTGTAACCCTAAGCAATACGTCTCTTTACTATCTCCCACCCAGTTCCAGGTTTACAATCTATACGTATTCGTTAGGAAGGTTCTTTACTGTTACTAGTAATTTCCTTTAGCCTCCCTGCTTTCACTATGATGATTTTCTAAGTGTAATGGTGCGACCAGTGAAGATCGAACTCATTACACAGTCGTAATTGTTTTAGCGAGAGAAGCTTGCTATCCATTATATCATGTCGTGTTTCCCCTTGCCTTTACTGTGTCCTGTGAGTGTTAAATTCTCCAAGTCCGCTTTCCTTATTATATATCGTAGAAATTTCACCCGTCTCTTTCTGATCTTAAGAAAAAAAGTGTCGTTTTCATTCTCATTGTTCTTAAAACATCCTCGTTTCGTCCATGGTATTCACAACATCCTTCTGTAGAACCACATTTCTGTTTCTGTAAGTCTCATATTCCCTTTTGAGGAAATTGTTGATCCAACATTCATTGCTATCTAGAAAGATTCATATATAACAGTTCAGCACTCCATTCTGAATCTAATGAAATTTTCATAAACATATATATATATATATATATATATATATATATATATATATATTTTATTCGAAAATTATAACATAAATATGTTATAAAATCACTACAAAAATAGCCATTTTGTTTTAACACTTCTAGTGTTTTATCAAGTAATGGTGTTGAATGTAGAATAAAGAGATTTCACTTTATAAAACACCAGACGTATTGAAAGAAAATGGCTATTTTTGTAGTGATTTTATTATGTTATAATTTTCAAATAAACTATATTTGCATTACTCTGTATTGAGCACTCTTTTAAGAATAGTATTTTTTGGTTATTAGAATTTATTCCATACACACCAAACCTATACTTGGATATATATATATATATATATATATATATATATATACTAGCAGCATGGCCCGACGTTGCCTGTGCTTGATTCAAAAATCGTCCGACTCATACAGCAATCGCTATCACTTGACTTAAAATATTTTTGCCCTTCTTTGCCTTTAAAGGAGTGCCCTTTGCCGTGCTGATGTTGCTACATGCCTTACTTCTTGCCTATCTCACACTGCGAATTTTTTTCTAAGCTCTATACTAAACATTAAATCTGTTACGAAAAAAGAACTAAAGAAAATGAAACAAAACGATCAGCTTTAAAAAAGGACTCGTAACTGGAAAAACCGAATGAAAAAAAATGTTAACAACAAATACTTTTTCATACCCAATCCAGTTCTGCGGAATCAGAATCAACGTTGAGTTTAAGCAAGTAAATGAGCCAATTAGAGTAAAGTGCCATGCAGATTTAAATTTTAAATCGACTATTTTTTTGTATGCTAGCATGCTAGTTAACATTCGTGTCAGTCAGCTGTTGGCTCTCACGTTGACCAGTAGAATCTTCCTGCCTATTCGTGGCAGCCAGCTATTGTCTCTTACTCTGGCCAGTAGAAAATGGCCACAAATTACATGAAAACTGCCGTAGAAGCATGAAAAAAATCGATTATTTCCACTATCGATGGGAGTTGGGAAATGCAAAGTCGGTCTTGGTCTTCCCGCTAACTTGGAAAATGTGCGTGTAAATTTTGGTGTAAATCCGTAGAAAATTGCGCCCGTGCATCCGTTACACACATACATACACACACACACACACACACACACACACACATCCTGCCTTATATATATATACATATATATATATTCGTGTATGTTTGTGTGTGTGTGTGTGTGTGTGTGTGTGTTGGGGTGGATGAGTATGTATGTGCGCGGTTGTGTTTCCATTTCCTTTTAACTCAATATTTCCCACATGTCGGAAGCAAAAAATTTAGACCAGAAAATGCCAACAAACAAACAGACAGCCCGGTAAAGGAAGAGATAGATAAACAGATAACATTTTCATTTCAGTTTACCCCAACATTCTGAAAAACAAATATGTTTAAGAAATACTTCCTCTTACATAATACGCTCTGTGTCATGAGACAAAAGGAGGTGGAGCGAGGGGGAACGGGAGGGATATGATACGTGTTAGAAGCTAATAATAGACTTGCTAAAATCATTAAGAGATTGAGATGATTCATTAATTAGTTTGAGCAATTAATTTAATTGCTGATTGACTATTTTGATAGCTGTAATGCTCAGAATATCAAACTTGAGATTCCCCTCCCCCAAAAGTGAATATTTTTAAAAATAAAAATAGAATCAACGCAATTAATTGTTCACTTTGTTAACGCTTCATATAAAAGATTTTAAGTTCATTCACCGAGTCTCTAGTAGTATCCATTTAAATTGAACACAAAACTTTTATATACGAGGCGCTACACAAAAACAGATGAATTTGAACAGACCGAGCAATCTGTTTATAATGAAGAACGTTTAATTAATTCACTCCATGCAAGGCGATAAAGGTATTAAGACGTAATGAGTGTGAGAGAATATGAAAAAAAAATATTAAGGAGAGAGAACAATAAAGAAAAGGAATTAATATGACAGAAGATAACGATTGAAATTGCATTTCAATTTTTGAAGATAAAAGTTGGTTGAAAAGAAAGAGGCCGGAAGTGCGAGAAGAGAAACTATTAGCATAAAACTTACAGTTACATCTAGCCATTTCAATTGTAAAATGAAGAGACATTGCCGCCAATTTAGACAGTTAAGTGCCATACGTGATACACACTTGAGTGATCATGCCTCTTTCGATTCATAACTGACTAGACAAGATTTTTCTGTAGTAGGTTGTCGTTTCTTTATGCGGTAGACTGGTTGCCAAACAAGGTCACAGGACTCAGTCTGTCCTGCCAATCATGCCACAACTGTTTAGGAGAACTGGATTCGTACCTTTCTCAAGAATATTTACGCGTAAGTGAATGTAATAAACCAGACTGGGATTCGAACTCGACTCTCCGAATTCTCATTCCGAAGCGATGTTCATTACATCACAATACACAAAACTAGTAGCACACTTCACTCTACGTTAGTTACATGGGGCGTTTTGTTACCCTTGAAATTTTAAAGAATTCCTACTTGGCAACGTGTTTCTTTTTCTCTCTTCCACTACTCCTCTGACTCAGTGAGGGCATGTAGCACACACTGTGCCGCAATTGTAGCACAGTTGCAGTGGAAGGCAGACATCGCTTTGTCATCTTCGGGT